GGATGGGGTTGTGGCTCAGCGGTAGAGTGCTTGCCTTGAACATGCGAGGCTCTGGGTTCTATCCTCAGCACCACATAAACATAAATAAATAAAATAAAGATGTTGGGTTCAACTACAACTAAAAAAAAATAAATATTTTTTAAAAAAAGAGGAATAGAATGAGATCATGGAAGGGAATTATTTTTATATTTCTTTGTAAAATGGAAGATATTGCACTAGATTGTATATTGGTAGGAATGATCCAGTAAAGTGAGAAAAGTTGGTAATACAAGAAAAAAACATGACAGTGTCTTTTTGTGGACAAGTGAAGGATYGGCTGTATATAGAACCTGGAATTTATCCATAATAAGAGAAAAGACAGTGTATACAGTGTAGATAACAGATTGCCAAGTACATAGGGAGGCAGGAGGATCAAGTTCAAAGTGAGAACAAGGGAGAAGTTGGTGGCTTGAGAAAGAAACAGATGGTATGAAATAGTCATCAGGATAACAGGAAAGTGAATATTTAGGAAAGTATAGTAGAGTAGTCTTAAAATTTGAGGAATCTCTGTTCTGGAAATCAAAATGTTCATCAATCAGGATTCTAGCAAGAAACTCAAAAGGGGACAATTTATAAGGTATTATCAGGGTATAGAGAAACTAAAAAGGGTGGCACTGTATCCTGGGACTCATTAAAGCAGAAAATTGGATGGAGAGGCCTCCTGATAGGTACTGTGAGCTTTTAATGAAGAACAAAGATCACCCAGGACTCCACTCTAGATTTACAAAATCAGAAATTCAGGAGTGAGTCTAGTAATCTGGCTTTTAATAAGTCCTCCAATGATCCTGGAATAAATATATAACCCTGCTCACTTCCCTCACATCTCTTTCAAGCACCTGAACACAGATGAAAATAGCAGGGTCAAGGGAGCTTATTGATACTGTCAATGTAGATCAGCCTCCCAGCCACAGAAGAAAGAGCAGCACATGGAAATTACACCACACTATCTAGTTATATAATTTTATTTATCCAGATACATTTATCTCTATTTCCATATTTGAAATTTCATTATTTTTGGGAGAAATGAAAACACATTCTATAGACTGGAACCTCATCATTTTTAAGCATTGTGTATTCCTTCATACAGAAATAGAAAATTTCACCAGTTTTTTCACTGAGTGGGAAATAGTTTTTACAATGTGATAAGTTTTATAATGGACACTGGATATCCATCAGTTAAAACAGACTTCCCTTCATGCAGCTTAGAATTCAGTGACTACACTCTATTTTTGGACATGTAAGTTGTTTTCATATTTTTTTTGTATAATCTTCTAAAGAAAAATCTGTCTAAATATCTTTACTTATTCTTCATTATTTCTTCAGGATATATTTCTGGAAATTTTCCTTATATAAAGAGTCTAAATTCAGATCATACTCTTTTGTTAAAGCACAATCCAAGGCCTTCCTTCACTACTCTGCTATGCCTAATATCCCAGTTTGGGGAATATAAAGAAATCTTCCACATAATAAATTTTTTATAACTTAGTATGTACAAAGTACAACTTAGCCCTTGCTCATATACTTATACTTTTTCATGTTATAAGCTAATTTTTCTTGTATTTGTATATATGTCTTTTTCACAGAAGTGTAGAAATTTCAAGTGGTGAATCTCTTTCAATATTTCTCTTCCTTCAAAATATTTTACAAACCTGAACATATAATACTTTTCCYTTTTTTTTGTACCAGGGATTAAACTCAAGGATGCTTAACTACTGAGCTACATCCCTAGTTCTTTATTTTTTATTTTGAGACATAGTCTCACTAAGTTGCTTAGAGCCTGTCTAAGTTGCTGATGCTGGTGTCCAACTTGTGGTCCTTCTGCCTCAGGCTCCTGAGCTGCTGGGATCAGAGACGTGTACCACTGCACCTGGCACATGTAATTGTTTTCTAATAAAATTATTTTCCTGGATTATTTAGAGCTTTAAACTCTGGATGAATTTATCTTTTTTACTGGGACCATATGGGAATCTAAGCACTTGGTGAATAAGAATTTATTTTTATTTCAGGGGTTGGTGACTTTCAAAGATGTGGCTCTAGACTTTTCCCAAGAGGAATGGGAATGGTTGGACCCATCTCAGAAGGATTTATACAGAGAAGTCATGTTTGAAAACTACAGGAACTTGGTATGGCTTGGTAAGGATGTTTCTCCCCGATAAATCCAAAATTTCCTTCTGAGATGTTTTTATTTCCTCAATCAGTAATATCTAGGACATTTTGAAGGTACTTGAATTTCTGCCTTCTGTTCCAGGAAGTGATTGGAAGTAGTTTTTTAGAGTTGGAAATGAGTAGTTCCCTTTGCTATAGAATGGTGGTTTGAAACAGCAACATCAGCATGCTCTGGAAATTTGTTAAATACAAATTATAGGACCCCACTCTAGATCTACAAAATCAGAAATTCAGGGACTGTGTCTAGTAATCTGGCTTTTAATAAGTCCTTCAATGATCCTGATGCCTGTCAAAGTTCCAGAGCCAATGTTGTAGAAACAACAGTAGGTCTGAGTTGGGGCCTGAGAATTTGCATTTCAAATTAGTGCCCAGGTGATGGCTACTTCTGTTGTAGAGCTTTGAGAGCCACTGCTATGGAATAAGCTTCACCTTCCTAATCCTACGTACAAGCACCATTCCATTCTTTGACCCTTAAAGGTCATTTCTTGCCTGATGATCAAGAAATTGGGTCTGGGACCTGGAACAACTGCAGCATGTTGATTTGTCTCTCTGGCTTTCATTTTTCTTACCCTATAAATAGGCCTCTCCATTTCTAAGCCCAACATGATCTCCTTATTGGAGCAAGGAAAGGAACCTTGGATGGTGGAAAGAAAGATGTCACAAGATCAGTGTGCAGGTGAGTGACAGATAACTGGGCAGAGAAGGCCATTGTAAGGTATCCACACAAGTGGTCCTGAGGAGGCTTCCCTGAACTTCAGGTGGCAAGGAAACCTCTTTAGCATGTGCTCCCCTAGAAACCTCAACTTGACCTTGGGGTTTTTCCTTTCAATTTTATCACATTTTATTTTCTAGTCTTTTACCTGTACTCTAAATCTTAATCCTTTCCTTTTCTTTTTCTCTATTGTGGTCAGAATTGCATACTTTTCTAGATTTGCTTTTTTTGACCTTTTACTTTTGTCAAAAATGTTATTAAAGATATACATGCACGCTCTTTAGAAAAAAACCCAGTAGTTTGACAAAGCTAGTTTTCTTAAAAAAAAATTGGATTTATCTGATATTTTCTTATGATTAGGTTGAGTATGCATATTTTTAAAGAATACCACAGAAATAATATTGTGTCCCTCAGTACATCATATCAAAGAATTTACAATGTTGATGTGCCTTATTATCTATGATACTAACTTTGCTTGCCTAGTGAGGGTGGTGTCTACTTGTTTTTTCCATTATAAAGTTCTTATTTTTCTATTAATAATTAATAACTATCTTGTAGAAAATACTTTGAAACTATTCAACTTTTCATAAAACTTTTGCTTATTAATTTTAGCACCACAGGAATATGTATATTCGTATATATCTGTCTATACACATATAAAAAATAGGATCATTCTGTGTGGAAGAACTGTTTCTTCTCCCCCATTTTATTATGAATTCAATTATATTTGTAGATTTATGTATTTTTTCTATGAAATAAAGACTTCATAGAATTTAAAGAGATTCATCTTTATATTGCTAGATTTATGGATTTTTTCCTATGGAGTTAAATCCAATGAATCATTATTTTGTTGCTCAGTTTGTTCCAGTTTTGGCCATCAGAATCTCCATGTTGGTTCCTGTGAGCTTTTCACATGTTCCCCTCCATTTTTTGAGCACTTCCTTCCTTCTGGCACTACAGAGTATCCCAGGTTCATTTTGTTTTCCTTGCCCAGCCTTGAATCTGTCACTTCTCCAAGAAACCTGGTTCTTTTTGTTGGGAAATGGTGTTTAGAAACCAAAATCTGGATTGTAGATGTGCTCATTGCTGTCAGGCCATCACAGCAGATAGAGATAGGAAATAAGTGCATGTATATACAYAAACTTCTATTTTTATTTCTGCCTCTGTCTCTTTATATATTAAAACTCTTCATTTATATTAGTAATTAGATTCTAGTGTAACTCCAAGCTGAGGTAATTGTAGCCTTCCTCTTTTACTTATTTGTAATTTCCTTTTCTGACAATGATAAACAATATATTTACTTACTTGCTCAATTTTAGTATACATGTGAACTATATATACTAATTTTTCTAGTTTATTCATCTGAGATATAAATTTACTCATTTGATTCAAACATTTTAGTATATACATAAAATATATTCCCTAAATTTTCTAACTTATTCATCTGTAAAATACAAATTTCCTAACTACATTCAAACTAYGGATGTATGCGAAGTTTCTTGTATCTTATTTGCAACACATTTTTGGGGAGTTAGGTTATTTGTCTTTATTTATTTGTAGAACTTTTTAAAATATATTGAGTATTATTAATTTTTCTATAGAAAACGTGTTTGTTTTCTTTTCCCAGAATGTCTCTTGCCTTTTCCCAGAATGTGTCGTGCCTTTTAAATTGTGATTTCTTTTCAAAAATAGAAATTTTTAATGTTAATGTCAGATCTGTCTTTTTCTTTATAGTTCATCCTTTGTAGCCTCATTTACTAAATCTTCCCCTAGTAACTAGGGTCATAAAAATATTCTGTTTGGTTTTTTGCAGTACCAGATATTGAACCCAGGGGTACCCTACCACTGAGCTACACTCCTAGCCTTTTTTATTTTTTATTTTGAGATAGGGCCTTGCTAAGTTGCTGTGGCTGGCCTTGAATTTGTGATTCTCCTATCTTAGCCTCCCAAGTCACTGGGATTACAGGCCTCTGCCATCGTACCCAGCTCAGCCCTTTATTCTTTTTTTTTTAAGAGGGTGGGGGGAGAAATTTAATATTTATTTATTTATTTTTAGTTCCCGGCAGACTCAACATCTTGTTTGTATGTGGTGCTGAGGATCGAACCCGGGCCGCATGCATGCCAGGCCAGCACGCTACCGCTTGAGTCACATCCCCAGCCCCACCTTTATTCTTATTTTTTATTTTGAGACTGTCTTACTAATTTGTCTGGGCTGGCCTCAAGCTTGTGATGCAATCTATCTCAGCTTCCCAAGTAGTAGGGATTACTGGCAGACACCACTGTACCCCACTCTCTTGTATTATTTTTAATAGTTTTAAGGTTTTTGTTTTTCACTCTTAGGCCTATAATCTCTATGGACTTTAATTTTTAAATATGGTGTGTGAATTTATTGACTAATGCATTTCTTCACTGATAGATGATAATGCTGCCTTCATCTGCATGCCAAGTTCTTATATTTGTGTGATTCTTACATCTGCCCTCTTCTTTTCATTCCACTGTTTATTTCTAAATCAGTGCTACACTGTTTTCCTTACTATGTAGCTTAATATCCTTTTAGTGTTCTAAGTGGTTATCACTGGCAAGTAGAGCAAATATTAATTTGCATGTATTCATCTCTATCTAGCCAGCTTGTTGTACTGTTTTATTCACTTCTCTGAATTTCTTAGRGTATGCTTCTTGCTTTAACAAAGTCTTAGTGAATAAAAATGTAAAGATTTTTTTTTGGGGGGGGGACATGTTATAATCCAGTATGCCATTATCTGGGGCCTCTGCTGCATGCCGTCATTTAGATTGACATTCAGATCCCTTTCGTCTGTTGGGATCATCATGTCCTTGGAATCTTATACTAAAGCCAGCAAGGCAGAGAGGGAGGAAGAGAAAGAAAAAGGGCATGGGGCAGGGCCGGGGGCAGAAGGTAGATTAAGGCATACATACACACAAAAAGAGAAACAAGATAAAAATGAATGGATGTTGAGGGATCTCTCAGGACATTTTCAATGGGCCAACTTGGAATTGACATTTGTGATGTCTATCTCTTCTGATTTGCCAAAACTTAGTCATATGGCTACAAGAGAAAGTTGGCTGATGCAATTTTTGTGTATCTAGGAGGAAAAGGAAAAATATTTACTACATATGTTTTCCTTTAAAATATTTTTATCTTCCTTTACTTTTTTTCCCTTTTGACTATCTCAGTTTCCTTATCTGTGTCTTACAGGTGCAGTTTTTATTCTTTCTGACATTAAGGAATTGTTTCCATCTTAAATGTGTACACACAAACACATACACACACATATATGTAAACATTTAAAATAGCAAGGTATTTTCTATTTTWATATATTTCCAGCATCTTTGAAGTGATTAATTTTTCTCTAATGTTTTTTTCTTCTATAAAAACTTAAAGAGCCAGGTRCAGTGGTGCACACCTGTAATTCTAGCTACTTTGGAGGCTCAGGCAGGAGGACCAAAATTCAAGACCAGCTTTGGCAACTTAGGGAAACCTAAGAAACATAGTGAGACCCTATTTCAGAACTAAATAATAAATAGGGATGGGGATATAACTCAATGAAAAAGCACCCCAATTTTTTAATCCTTAGTACCAAATAAATAGAAAAAGACTTATAGAAGAGAAATTCTATAATAATTTATCACGATGTTTTTTTCTTGCCAAACTGTTCTTGCCTTTCTGAATTGCATATTTGATCATGTGGATTATTAAAATTAATAAAATATTCAATTTTTAATATGTAAGAATTTTGGTGATTGATCTGGTATCATAACAGTGAAATAAACTAGTGGAACAGTATAGAAAATATAGAGAGCATAAGAACAATGAGTAGATCAGTGAAATGACACTCAGGTTTATATGAGAATTTATAGTAAGAAAGGGTAGCTTTTCAAATCAATGAGGCAAAGAGTTTCTTAAAAGTTATAAATAATATTTGTATAATACTAGATTTTAGAAAGTTGTTCCTAGAATGACATCAAAGCCAGCATCTATAATGGAAAAAGTGAGAGCTTTAAGTTTACATAATTAAATTTTTTTATCAAAGCACTGTAAATGAAGGGGACATAAAACAATAAAAAGTGGTGAAAAGGGAAAATATTTACATAGGCTTAATGCCCTAAATATATAAGTAACTTCTATAAATCACCTAGAAGATATATGGTTCAATTATGCAAAATACATCATAATATATATAAAAGATATATAAATTTGCATAAAAAGATACTCAATTTTATAATCAAAATTATAAGAACAGAGAGGTACTTTTTACTTATGTAGGCAATGATTTTAAGATGATGTTAGCCAGTGTGGGTGGGTTTTGAGATGTGCTCTTTCTATACTGTTGATAAATTTTTTAGAAGGCAGTTTGAGAGAATATTAATATTTTCAATATGTACAATTTAATTTAATGTTTCTACTTTTAGAAATGGATCTTGGAGAAATGCAAAATTATACAAAATCACATTATTAGAAGTTGCTTATTTGATTTCCTTTTTTCCCTATTATTTTTATTGGGGCATTATAGTTATATGTAATGTTTGGGATTTGTTATGTATTTGTACATGCACACAAATATTACAATATAATTTATCGAAGATCATTCCCCAGTATTTGATTTSTTTTTCATTTTAGGAATAATTTATTTTTAGTTGCTTATGGACTTTTATTTATTTATATGTGGTGCTGAGAATCAAACCCAATGCCTCACACATGCTAGGCAAGCACTCTACCACTGAGCTAAAGCCCATGCCCCCAGTATTTGATTTCTAAATGGTTAATTTTTTTCAAGTGTTGACTGCAAGGAGTAATAAAAACACATATTTAAAAATACATGTTTCACATTAAGATACATATGTAAAGATATATATATATATATATATATGAGGTATATGTATCTTCATGTTTATGTTAAGCATGTAATTATAAACACCAAGTACAACTGAACTAAATATTATATGTT